GACCTCATCTCTACAATAAAAATAAAAAAAAAAGCCGGGCGTGGTAGTGCGCGTCTGTAGTTCCAGCTACTTGGAAGGCTGAGGGGGAAGGATGGCCAGAGCCCAGCAGGTCGAGGCTTCAGTGGCCAGGAGCGGCCACTGCACTCCAGTCTGGGCGACCGAGTGAGACTCCAACTCAAAAAACCCCACAAAAAACGGTATGTTCTGCTCAACCTGTAATCCCAGCACTTTGGGAGGCTGAGGTAAGTGGATTGCCAGAGTCCATGGGTTTGAGACTAGCCTGGGCAACTTGGCGAGACCATGTCTCTATAGTAAATCAAAAATTAGCTGGGCGTGGTAGAGCACACCTGTAGTTCCGGCTACTTGGTAGGCTGAGGCGGAAGGATTGCCAGAGCCCAGCAGGTCGATGCTGGGGTGGCAGTGAGCGTACCACTGCACTCCAACCTGGGTAGGGGAGTGAGACTCAAACTAAAAAAAAAAAAAAAAAACCAGCAAAAAATAAACACCAAAAAACGGTATGTACTTGCTCCTGCCACGTATTAAGTTCTTGCCTTAGGCTAGGCTCAGGGATAGCTTGACATTCTGTAAATGTCTTATTCCTTAAAAAGTCCTGAACAGCAGATATTGATGCACCCCCATTTTATATCCTGCCCACTCGGTTATCACATCCAAAAATACCCTTGCTGGGTGCAGTGGCTCAAGCCTGTAATCCCAGCACTTTGGGAGGTAGAGGCGAGAGGACTGCCTGATCCCAGGGTTCAAGACCAGCCTGGGCAACTTGGCAAGACCTCATCTCTACAATAAATAAAAAAATTAGCAGAGTGTGGTGGCATATGCCTGTAGTTCCAGATATTTGGAAGACTGAGGTGGAAGGATTGCCTGAGCCCAGCAGGTTGAAGCTGCAGTGGTTGTGAGCTTGCCACTGCACTCCAGCCTGGGCGACAGTGAGACTCTAACTCAAAAAAAAAGAAATACCCTCAATTTCTCTTGTATTGAGCTATTCATTTGTTTAGTTTTTGTTTTTGAGTCAGGGTATCACTCTGTCGCCTAGACTGAGTGCAGTGGCGCGATCACAGCACACCACAGCTTTAACCTCCTAGGATCAGGCAGTCCTTCCGCCTTGGCCTCTCAAAGTACTGGAATTACAGATGTGAACCACCACACTCTGCTGTACTGGGTATTTTTGTTTTTTTGAGTTGGAATCTCACTCTGTCGCCCAGACTGGAGTGCAGTGGCACACTCCCGGCCACTGCATCCTCAACCTGCTAGGCTCAAGCGATCCTTCCGCATCAGTCTTCCAAGTAGCTGGAACTACAGGCATGCGCTACCACACCCAGCTAGTTTTTGATTTTATTGTAGAGACGAGGTCTCACCAAGTTGCCCTGGCGGGTCTCGAATCCGCGGGCATAGTCAATCCACTTGCCTCGGCCTCCCAAAATGTTGGGATTACAGGCTGAGCCACCGAGCCCGGCCCGAGTATTTTAAACATGAATAGGTACTGAATTTTGTCAAATACCTTTTCAGCATCTATACAGATTATTCAAATTATCATGTGCTTTAACTCTATAAATATGACATGTATATTACGTTCCTAAACTATCACTTTTTTTTTCTTTTTGTTTTTGAGTCAGAGTCTCATTGTCACCTAGGATGGAGTGCAGTGGCACATTCACAGCCACTGCAGCCTCTACTTGCTGAGTTCAGGCAATCCTTCTGCCTCAACCTTCCAAGTAGCTGGATCTACAGGTGTGGGCCTCCATGCCCTGCTAATTTTTTTTTTTTTTTGAGTTGGTGTCTCACTCTGTCGCCCAGACTGGAGTGCAGTGGCCGCTCCCGGCCACCGCAGCCTCAACCTGCTGGGCTCTGGCGATCCTTCTTCCTCAGCCTTCCGAGTGGCCGGAATTACAGGTGCGCGCTACCACGCCCGGCTAATTTTTTGATTTATTGTAGAGATGAGGTCTCGCCTGCCCAGGCGGGTCTCAAACCCGCGGGCTCAGTCAATCCACTCACCTCAGCCTCCCAAAGGCACGGGATTACAGGCTGAGCCACTGAGCCCGGCATTTTTTAAAATTTATTGTAGAGACAAGGTCTCGCCAAGTTACTGAGGCTGGTCTCAAACCCCTGAACTCAGATGATCCTCTCGCCTCAGCCTCCCAAAGTGTTGGGATTATAGTCGTGAGCCACTGTGCCCAGCTGACTATCACTTCCTTCTTTTTTTTTTGAGTTGGAGTCTCACTCTGTCGCCCAGACTGGAGTGCAGTGGCCGCTCCCGGCCACCGCAGCCTCGACCTGCTGGGCTCCGGCAATCCTTCCGCCTCAACCTTCCAAGGAGCTGGAATTACAGGCATGCACTACCACGCCCAACTGATTTTTTGATTTATTGTAGAGATGAGGTCTCGCTGCCCAGGCGGGTCTCGAACCCACGGGCTCAGGCACTTCCTTCTTTTTTTGAGTCAGAGTCTCACTCTTCGCCCAGACTGGAGTGCAGTGGCTGCACTGCACCACAGCCTCGACCTGCTGGGCTCCGGCAATCCTTCCACCTCAGCCTTCCAAGTAGCCGGAATTACAGGCATGTCCTACCATGCCTGGCTGATTTTTTTGATTTATTGTAGAGATGAGGTCTTGCCAAGTTGCCCAGGCGGGTCTCGAACACGCAGGCTTAGGCAATCCACTCACCTCAGCCTCCCAAGGCGCGGGATTACAGGCTGAGCCACCGAGCCCAGCTTATTTATTTATTTATTTTTGAGTTGGAGTCTCACTCTGTCGCCCAGACTGGAGTGCAGTGGCCGCTCCCGGCCACCACAGCG